AATACAAAAAGAAAAAAAATAGTTTATTACATATTGGAAAATGAACAGAGAAAAGAGGATACATTATATACAGCGTTAAATATTCTTTATTGGTTTTTAAACACAGACATCTATACTTAAATGGCCAAAATCAATCTGCAAAAGAAATGCCAACCTTTGAATAACATGTAATCTATGTTCTTCACATTTTCTCAGACTATTACTCCCAGATTAAGCAGAACTGTGTCTCTGATTTTCCGCTGAAAGAATTCACGACGCGGTAGCTGGTTGAAGGGGACCAAACCTCACTGAAACACCTGACTTGGTTCCGTTTGACCAGCCACAGCAAGGCGTGTTGCTTCGGCTGAAGGCAGAGCAAGAGAGAGGCAGAAAGGGGGCCAAAGACACAGAGGGAGGGAAAGAAAGAGGAGAGAGAACAGGAGGTCCTCTTCTGTGCTACCTGATGAAACACAGAGTAAAATAAGATTACTAAAGATTTAAACAAGTTACAGCATGGAGCATCAGTGTGTTACCAAGCAGACAGTTTCTATTTTGAGGTATGGGAACCCTGACAGCTGGTGACATCTCCTTTCCTACCTCCAAACCCAGCCCTGCTGGGGCGAACTTTCAACCTCAGTGACAGCTCCACATCCTTGCCCTCCCTCCCTCCTCCCCTCGTCCTTTTTTAACTTCTGTGGTTGCTATAATGGGTGACAGCTGCGGCCGGTCAATCCTCCTCGACTGTCAGCAGTTGGGGCAGGGCAGGAATTTTTTTTCAAGTTGTGTCCCTGAGACCCCGTTATCAGCGGGCCCGGGGAGTAATGTGAACCATACACATGTCTGAGCTGAAGGAGAGGGAAGCAGGCCTTTCACCTGTTGCTCTCCCTACATGCACACACACACACTCATGAGCTGGGATGAAAGAAATCCAAGCTGCAAGATATTTAAGAAAGACCTTTAAGGACAAAGAAAATCAGAGATTGCTCCTCTTTCTTGTGCTCTAGTTGCTCAGGCCCGCCTTGAAACCACACACTTCCTTACATTCCATAAGTGATGTATTAATATGGGGATATAAGGAAGCATGTCCTCGCAAGGGGGAAACAACTGGGTCCAACGCTCCTCGGGACACAAAGACACCCTTTCATACCCGCCAGGGAAGAGCAGCAGCAACAACTGTCTATATAATGGTTAACTGTGACAGAGGGAGAGAAATGTTTTAAAAGCAAACATTATGCCTGGAAAAGTACAATTGCGTAAAGAATATAGAACACAACTGATGCAGCAAGAGGCTGCCAAAAGCCAGTATATATATTTTTATACTGGAAATGGGTTATAGCATTATACTATGTTGAAACGAAAACAATAAATGTAAAAAAAAAAAGAAAAAAACAAAGAAAAACATTTTGTGAAGTTTTTTCTATAGCCTGAGTGTTCTGGTGACTTCTGTAGATTAACCTGACCTGAGATGGAGGCCTCACCCCAGATTCCCTTCAGATTAATGCCACTTTGCAGACTTTCTTCTTTTTAGATGCTACAGAGGAAAGGTAGCTTCTCTAAAGTAATTAGAGTTGTCACTCTAATTGACTTTTCTCTTTTCCTGCCTTTTTCCTGTGTCACACCTCAGTGTCCCCCTAAGCTGTAGGAGGTGTCAAGCTCTGCTGTGGTGTGCTGCTGCCGTAATAAAGCTGAGGAAAAAAAAACTACTAACAGCTGGTCTTATATCTAATTTTTGTCAACTTGAAAAGAAACACTCCCAAAGGGAGTAAAAATTATCATTTTCAGATAATGTCAAAATAGATAAAAAATGTTTTTGAATAAAACCGTTTAAAATTTAGACCAACCTTAGTTCATGTCCCTGAAGCTTCCCTTTTCCTCCCATACATTAGTGTCATCTGTTTGCCTCAGCTCTCTTTGCGACCATCCGTTCTCTTCTGTATGTGGCCTCGTGGATTGTGTCCACAGCAGGCCATGCAGACCGGCCTTTTCTATACCCACCAGGAGCGGCCCCCCTCCAGTGCAGCTTCCCACCTGTTGGTGTCCTTTAGGGAGCCCCGGGCCTCTCCTGCGCCTCCTGTCCGGCCCAATCAGGACCCTGACAGGGAGGGGAGTCAGTCCTGTGAAGTCACACCTCTCAGCTGTTCACACTGAGCTCAAGACACCCTACACCCCTCTGCCGTTCCTCTGTTCACCCCCCCACCACAATCCGGCTCACACCCCACCTCACCCTGCCTCTATTTTACAGAGGATGTCAATGGCTCCTTTAAAAAAAAGGGCGGAGAAACAAGGAGGCAACTGCGAAATGGGCGGGTGTTGGTGAGTTTTTGGGGGACTTTCAGGGGCACAGCTGAAGACAAAATTATAGTTTCATCTTGGCCCCAATAAGGCACAAAAACTGCCATATGTTTAGTTATAAGAGCTACTAAAAAGCCTTTACTCCTTTATGAGGATGCTGCGGTTGTTTTGGGACGTGGATACTGTGAAAGAGATGAAAAAGAAAAATTTAAAAAGTGTTCTTCACTTTGATCATACACAGGGATATTTCAGAAGCAGGATTTTTTATTGTCTTATAGTTCTGGAAAAAAACAAAAAAAACAACAACAACTAAAATATAGAACAAAAAATGCTACTTAGGTCTGAAAACAACAACCCTTTCAGTATGAAACCTAGAGGAACTTGGCAACGCATTGAGAAAACCTTTTTCATCCCAACACGTTATCTGGATGTTAACGTATTTTGTCTGCTTTGGGGGGATTTTATGATAACACATGACTTCTTTGGATCAAAGGAGAGGTCCTCTGAGCATTAATTAACCATCTTACTGAACCCTGCTTCAGCAAGATTGTTACTGCTTCTCTTGAATTTAGGCATCAATGTTATTTTAAAACATAAATTATGTTCTGATCTAAGTATCACATTATCCCCAAATATTACATCGAGCGTATAACCTCAATCTGACTATGTTCTCCTTAGCTGCAGAATAAAGGGATCCCCCAGCATGATGCTGCCTCCACCATGCTTCATTGAAAGGTTTGAGTTTTCAGGCGATACGCAAAGTTCGTTTCCCTAAAAAAACTCCAAAACACCACTAAATTTCTGCTGAGATTTTATTTACACAGAGATGAGCTCTAATTACTAATTTTATGTGTGTAAAAAGTGAAAATATCCCTTTTGTG